ATCCATGTCCTAACAGTAGGTATAAAATCGTACAACTACTGTACCCAGTAGAAATCAAATTTATTGTTCTATTTTACCACATTGTTATTTTCGAACATAACGACTGCAGAAAACCTTGAAGTAGGAAATAAGCTTTGAAACGTTCTCTAAAGGATAACGCATATTGTAATGGGTAAACCGAATTGACACGACGAAGACGTTAACAGATGTCATGTTAAGCCTTTCTTATCTTGGTCGGAAAATTGACTGACATTAGCAATAGTCAGAATATAAAACAGACACAATTAACACAATTATACTGACACATATTAATTAACTATCCCGATTCGCACGTGTCATAGCAACTCATATCTTCTACATTTACAGGTATTTGTCCGAGGAATCAAGTATTATGTAACGTGATATTTGATCAATGTGCTGGCGAAGACACTGGGTGTATTAGTATTACAGCGTGTTTACAAAATACATGTATGAACTGTAATGTCCATGGGTCTGGGAATAATCGTTGGAAAAACTCAATATGCAGATCAAGTCAGGCTTTCCAGCAATTGCTTGAACAAGGTATGATTTAAGTGCTATTTTTTAATAATCCCGTTGCGCTCGAGACGTGAATTATTATGTCATTTTACAAACTGATGTTAAAATAATATTTATAGTAGGATATGGGCCGCTTGTCACGTGATTGGATATAACGATACTTTAATTGTATGCGGAAACGGTGGGCACTGACATCGACATATGATTTGTTATACAGGGGCAGTTAACACTGGCGGAGCGAGAAAAGAAAGTCTACAGGAAACGTATATGCTGTTATACTACGACGTTCAACGTAAGTGAGATTTATTTTGTAGCGCCTGCTCATAATTGTAGTTATAACAACGCAGTACAGGACAAATATCTCTAAACGCTAGTCACTCTCGTCATTAATTATGATCTGTATTTCAGTTTGTGAAGACGGTTCCATACTTTGCAATGGCGAGTGTGTACATGCAAATAACGTATGTAAAGCCAGATGTAATTGTATACCACCGCAGTTGAGGTCCAGGCTCCGTACACGTAAGTAACCAATGATGTGTGGTTTATTTAAATATAAGTGTCAAATCATTAGAATAATTATCCTTGCAGTTGACATACAAGCATGCATTGGTAATATTTTCTTTTATCTCTTAAACAAATTACAAACATCAATTTATAAGTTAAGATTTTTTAAAATAGAATATGTTCATACATCATGTATTACTCACAATTGCGTATCAAACATCAATAACAGTTTTTTCTTTTTGAACAGGTTCCACAAGGGACATGTCAGTCAAATCGTAAGCAATGGAATAAAATGGAACATTGAAATATGTTGATATCATTTTACCATATGTGTAAACAATGTTATGTGAGAATTTAACAATTCTAGTTTTCGTATTTAGTGTACAGTGGCGAAAAAATGAACATCGTACCATCGTTTCTTTTTTTTGCTAGGTGTCACATCGCTAAAATGATTAAATATTATTATTTATATTTAGAATTAAATAAAAATGTTTATGAACCATAATAAAACTGTATGCACTTTTATTCGCAGGACCACACCATCCACGTTCGCGTTCTAATCAAGAACGTGTGCATTTCACAAAGGGTGGTAACATATATGTTGAGAACGTCGCACCCGATGGTGTGTTAAGATAACTGTGTGCCATTCTTAGGTGAACCAAGACGAATACAACTTATTTATCAGTAAGACAAAACAGTGCACTACGAAGGAATAAAATGAAAGCTAGCGAGCTGATATTTTATACCTATGCAACACATAAACATATTATGAGTAATATCGATACTTGCCGTTAGTGTAAGTGCCCTCACAATATCGGCCAGATTCTGACTTTGCAATACGTATACGTCATATGGTGGGAGGAGCAGCCTAGGCCTCGCTCCACACATTTTTCTGATAATATTGCTCGTTTTTTTAAAATTAAAGCTAAAATTAAATGGCGTATGCGACTCGGATCTGCAAAAGTATGTAACGTTTTCGGGATCTAAGTTTATCCAAGAAAGTTTGTATAGCTTCCGGGGTATGAGTTCATGTGATAATTAGCCTGTCTTCTGATTGGTTGAAAAATATTAGACATGTCGATCATCGCAAGCCCGAAGCTGGCCGGTAATGTGAGGGCGCTTACACTAACGGCAAGTCTGTTGGGATTTCGCGGTCACAAGACTTTCGCGTTCATTTGATCGAGAGTGCAATACGCTACTGGAACTCTTGAATTTGTTTGATTGACATTGTTGAATTATCGAAATGACAATATTCTTAAAATGACACACAGACGTACATGAATGCCCTTTCTTGTTACCATGGATACATTCAGGTAACAGCAAGTCATATACTGTATAGCACAATAGCATGGCATTTCAGCTATATCATATAAAAGAAAACCTTCTACCTGCATTGTTTCCTTTGAACAAAAATTAGAAAATGTTAAAAAGCAACATCAATTATTTTTATTAAAGTAAGGTAACATAATTTATTCTGTATATTATGTCGCCCAACAATGTCGAGATATATGCTAAACTATTAATATTTATCAGTTACTACAGCCACTCCATTATTCATCACATTAAAATGTTGCAGATTGAGACATTGAATACCCTTGTCAATGGGCCTGTGCTAGGTTAGTAACCACTTGGCGATACAGTGATCATGCTAATAATGTCGTATACATATCATTGTTCTTACCAGATTTGTTTTTCTTCAAAACATCTATAGGACTACCTACATTTATACAAAATAAATAATTTCTAAAATGCAGTTATATGAAAATAAATTATAATTGTTAAGAAAAGTACCATCTTAATATTGTTCATGGATTCTCAGTGAGATGCATGGTCGTTTCAGTGTTATCGCTTTGAAATTATTAAGAGTTCCAGTAGCGCATTGCACTCTCGTTATACTTGCTTGCAGTCTTTTGCATTCTTCGTTATTTCTCGCTGTTATCAAATCGATTGCCATAGCTCACTCCAGTATTTCACATTTAGCCATGGCCAACTTAACACAAACGGATGAACACATACAAACACGCGCCAGAAATGGTATATGCAACTGTTCCATCTCAATAGACACAATGCGGTGTTATAGGTCGTTGTTTTATAGAACAGTTACCCAATGAATAATTACACCAAAATGAACCATATATCTTGTGCTGACAGCTTATATATATTTGCAAAAACACATAATCTTCAAATATAATGACCATAAAACCATAAAACTATTATCTCTGTGTATTACATGGGATAATTATATTCTCCCAAAAATGTATTATATGTATACATATATAAATCATTATGTTATTACTACTACGTTGCTATATTTTGTAAAGTTTCAACAATTTAATACACATACAACATTTCTTGTATTATTAATAATATGTTGTAGCAGACGACCATGGGGTTAACCTCGTCACCAACTCGTCCAGTTTATCGTATTCTGCATCGTACCATGTGGTCTCTCGCTTAGGGTTTATATATGGTAACGGTGTACGACATGGAGTAGGTGCTGTATATCATCCGAATTCGAGTATAATTGAACGATTCAACTGATGTTACAGCTGCATTCAAATGTGCGGTCCAGATTACGTGAAACTACATATATGTATACGGAGTTATCACGAGTATAACTCAAAATATGCAATAAGACAGTACAGCGGGAGTATCGACCGACGCGACGGCGTACTGAGTACATACTTTGAAGTATCCTCGTAATAACCTTATTATTATAATCATTTCATATTTGGAATTCGCATTTCCTTATATGGTAGGATGAAAATACCCCGTAAAATACTGAAAAATTACGAAACACAGTAACTTATGGCGTTACGGTGACAGATGTATAATAATAGTATATATGCAAATCCGCAGTTAGTAGAACACATTTTGGATTTTAATTATTTCTATTTCTGAAAATAAGTAAAACACTCTTTATCTTAAACCATCGTTCAGAATACGCTGTATGTAGCGCCCTCTGACGATGTATCGCGTTAATTGCTGTAAAGCATGCCACTTACATCACCCATATTTCTTGATATTTGTTCGTATAAATAAAATATTGTATTTTTTTACCATTTTGGTATATTTTATATGACAAATTATTACATAACATAGTGAAGCTATATTACTTTACACTGTGTACAGATTTGTTTCGTCAATTACACAAATACAACAATTGAGTCAAACTGAGAAAATCCATTACACATTTGTATTTTTTACATATATTACATCTCTGCTACATATAATTCAATATTTAGTTAAAATATTAATTATGTTTTCAAAACTAAGCTTTAGTTCCATATATGCTTCATTAAGTAATTGTATGGCCCTCTCTGCATTGATACAATTGATTTAAATATTATTACTTGCATTATTTATGGATTATCAAGTTGACGTTATTTTCATTTGTAATGATCAGAGTAATAGTTACATGAATAAAGGTAATATAAGTAAAAAAGGATAAAAGGATAAAAGAAAAGACCTTTTTGTAAATACGTAATTTCGAAAAAAATGAAGTGCGAACTAATTTTTATTTTTGATTAAAAAAGCTGGTGACATCTTTAACAACTTTTGTTAAACACTGTTTATAACTCTAGTAATATTAATATATAGTTTGTGCTGTGACAATATAGATAGCACAGTCATGATATGATATAATTGTAATGGCACGACATGTCATTTTTGAAAATTACACTTGCTGTTGGGAAAGTGGAGATTCTTACAATCAGTGGGGTCGTATTATCATATTGGAATGGAGAATATCGTATAATTTAATATATACATTCATAATGATTACCATTTAACGTTAAGTCGTACCGGTCATGGCCAGCTACTGCTGAAAATAAACATTATATCTCTTTTTAAAATATTGTGAGCAGGTTATATGATAGATTTATGCGCCACATCGTTAATGATGCATTCATTCTACCTATAATGAGCGAATCTGATTGAATGTCATGGTCATGAGGTATAATATTATTTAACGAACTATCGAAGTTCACTGAATATTGAACTCTTATAATTACCTGCACTTCCACGTCATCATACACCGATGCAGCCATTGACCCCTAGAAAAACAACATTCCTTGAGTTATTAGTAGTTTGGCTAAACTGATTTCAACCATTAGAAGGCAGTTCTGTGTTAAGGCGATTTTACCATAATAGTTCACATCGTTCTATCCTTTGGATTGATATATCCACAACATAACAATGCTGGCTGAATATTCAATTCAGTATGGAGCGATAAAATCGTCTTGTTGAAATGCATAATACTGTGGGCTGCACCGAAACCGGAATACATGCGAAATAATGCCGCATAGGATACAATGACCTTCACCTATCTACTAATGTGGTCTGTCGTTTGAACACACGGGGCTATGATTGTCCGTTGTTCACAGTTAACGGTCATATAAATTAACATCGTTGAATGGAAGAAGAATTTTCCAGCTGAGTTACTTCAGTCTAATGTATGGCGAGGCGTACCAAGGCCTACTACACTATTAATTAATTACATACCATTCTGGTTATCGGCGTTCTTTCTAATTAAACGGTTTTTCACACATTCAAAGAGCTGACCTGTACGTCCGCAGTTTTTCATATTTCTTATATTCGACATAATTATCGAATATTGATGAAGAACATTTATTATCAACGCAAATATTTTGTATTTTACCGTTGGTAACTTTTCAAACGCTTCAATGAGGTCACAGAAATTCGGTCTTTTATCCGGCTTTAGGTTCCAGCACATCTTCATTATTTCGTACCTATTCATATTAGAATTTATATATTAACATATGTGCCTATATTCATACAAGTGAACTAATAAAATAAGAAGTTCATCACAATTTGTGATCGAAATACAATCTTTCTATAAATTGCGTTCTCTAGTGAAAACATTATTTGGGGAAGATAATTTCACCGATGTGTTTTGTGGTATTTACATCATTCACATCAAAATGTGTCCTGTCGTTCGAAAGATCATAATCGCTGTAAACGGCAAACTTACAGTATCAACACGGGGAAAAAACGTGTTATCATTAACCCGATACTTACACTTCTGCTGGACAGTTTTCAGGTTCTCGGAGGACATGACCATTCTTTAAAATATGTATAATTCGATGTGTTTCCTGGTCGTTATAAGGCTGTGCTCCTAAAATTATAATAAATATTTATAGATTGCATATGATGATGTATTAATATGAGGAGAATAAATCACATATTTATCACACCTTAAAACTAACTCTCTATACAAAATCTTACCATTTGTCATTATTTCCCACAGAACAACACCATATGACCAAACATCACTTTGTGTAGTATACACAGCATTGTAAGATGTTAAACATTCATAGGCTATCCATTCTGGCTTAACTATCGGGACTGAGATTTCACTCTGTAAACAAATGCTTACTTTGATATATCAATTGATCGAACCTTGTAGAACAGGCGGTACCGGATCATGAAACACTCAATTGATACCAATTCGAGGAATAAATCATCGAAGTAATCTAATTTTGACGTACGTAATTCCAATGAAAAAACAAACAAACAAATATTACTGATATAAAATGGCAGCATGCAGTTACATAAATAAAAGAGACGATTCTATTGTTATATTGTTTTTCTTTTTAAAAGATACTCTCTTTCGA